TTGATATTTTTTTTCGAATTTTTGTGATATCTTCCAATAATAATTTTATTCAAAAAAAAAATTATTATTGTTTTCTTAAAAACACATAATCTATACTATATTATAAAATATTTGACAAAACTCTTAAAAACCATTTTTTATGTGTAAAATACTATTTATTAATATATATTATTTAAAACTCAAGATTGCAAATATATTGTGCGTAAGTACAACTTATTAAAGCTCCATATCTGAATTCGTGTGACTTACTGCAGATAAACATAATCAAATACATGATAAACAACTCATTTCAAATATAAAAAAATTTTAAAATATAATTATGATAATCATTAAATTCTAACAAAATACTTAATTATTATCATTATAAAATGTTATATTATTAAACCAAAAATAAATTATTTCGTTATTAAACTTAAATTAAATTATAATAANTCAAGATTGCAAATATATTGTGCGTAAGTACAACTTATTAAAGCTCCATATCTGAATTCGTGTGACTTACTGCAGATAAACATAATCAAATACATAATAAAAAATCTAAAATATAATTAGGATAATCATTGAGTTCTAACAGAATACTTAATTATTATCATTATAAAATGTTATATTATTAAACCAAAAATAAATTATTTCGTTATTAAACTTAAATTAAATTATAATAAAAAATAAATTAAAGAAATTACATAAAAAATAAGAACTTTTAAATAGATGATTTGATATTAACATTGATATATTTTTTTTTCAAAATTTTATGATATTTTTAAATTTATATTTTATTCAAAAATAAAATCATTATTGTTTTCTTAAAAACACATAAGATCGTATTATAATATCGACAGAGATAAATATTAAAATCGAGATGTGTCTCGCTGCATTGTGTGGGTACTCCTTTAGTATATCAATAAATAATACTTCATACATAAAAAATCGTTTTTAAATTTTTTATCAAATATTTTATAATATAATATAGATATGAATTTCAAAGCAACCATATAAAAGACATCCGCTATTAAAATAAATGGGTTTTTGAGAATTTCCCTTACGCCTCCCTAACTTACAATATTTTATATTATATCTTTAAATAATAAATATTTTTTTATAAAACATAAAAACTATTATATACGTAAGCAATTATTTCGCTTCTAGACTTCATAATTTCTTAGCTTACCCGTTGACTGTTCTAATTCGTTTTTTAGTATATATTATAATGATATTTATGTAATGTAACGAAATATATTTTGATTTTAATATTTTATTTATATTTTGGGTTTATGAATGTTATAATGCGATTTTATGTGGTTTTGAGAAAAATAAAATGTTTTATTTTTGAATGAAATATAAATATAAAAATATTATAAAATTTTGAAAAAAAAACAATATTAGTATCAAATTAACTATTTAAAAGTTCTTGTTTTTATGTAATTTCTTTAATTCAATTTTTTATTATAATTTAACTGAAGTTTAAAAATGAACTAATTTATTTTTGGTTTACTAAAATAATTTATTTAAGATAATAATTAATTATTTTGTTAAAACTCGATAATTATCGTAATTATATTTTAGATTTTTTATATTTTAAAATGAAATGTTTATCCTCTACTTGATTATGTTTATCCGCAGTTAGTTACACGAATTCAAACATGGAACTTTAATAAGTTGTACTTATGCATAATTTACTTGTAATCTTGAATTTTAAGTAATATGCATCAATATACAATACTTTATGCATAAAATATGGTTTTTAAGAGTTTTTGTCAAATGTTTTATAATATAGTATAGATATACAAGATATGCTGTTTTTTTGTGAAAATAAATCTTTAATCCGAATGATCAGTTAGATGAAATAATAATTATACAAATCTGACAAACTAATTATTGAAAACGATGGTTTTAATTAAAAGCTTGTCCAAGGGATTAGGATGATGACCACTCTAAAGTGATTAGTTAGATTTAAATAACGCGGTTCTTGGTATATTACTAGTTAGGGTTTTAACGAATTAGGTACCCGAAAGCTAGGATTAATGATCTGATAACAACCTAAGCGGTTAATCACTTGTCCAGAAACCTAGGAATTGATGGACTACTTTTAATGTCGTAACTATAACTATCTTAATACCTAAAGAATAAACTCTCAGGGGTTGTTTACTAACACTTACCCGGGTAAGTGTTTACCGGCAAAATTCAGAACTATCAATTACTTACCAGTAAGATTTTAGTCCACCAAAACGGTATGTATGCAACAATTAACCTGGTAAGTGCTAACCGTGGTAATAGTCATCGCCGTCACTTACCGGGTAAGACTTTCAGTCCTTACCTTCACTCTTACTGGGTAAGATTCTTGGTCCTTGCCATATTGATTCGGTAAGGTAATGTGACTTGGTAAGCGCTTACCTGTATAAGCGTTTGGTAAACGGCCCCTTAGTTCGTGAATAATATTAGCAGTATCAATCACATAATATTCTAAATAAGAAAAATATAATAATAGCTTCGTTGGTTCTCAATAGAACATGCATTACACAACAATCATAACCCAATCTTGATTCTGTTTGTCTGCGAAAAAAAAGTACGTATCAATCTTCTTGTTTTCAAACGAATCAGGATTCAGAGTAATGGCATTTTTGGATACGTTCGTTTTTGATCCATCATTAAAAGTATCTAATCGCAATGGTTATGGTGGGGTTTAAAGCAACTACACAAGTTAAAGTCATGTTAGACAATTAAATTGGTATGGTTAAGTTGTCACATTTTGAAATGTCACGTCCCAACAAATTGGTACGTGGAGTTTCATCTAATGACAAGTCTCGTTCTGATTTTGAATTGCATAACTGAACCTCACACTTTGATATCAATAACTGCAATTGTTTTAAAATTTCATGCATTCCACGTTTTATTGCATTTATGTTTAATAATGCCTTAATGTTCTAAGCAAAACCACCAATTTGAGCCAATGTGGCTTAACTGTGAAGAATTCAAATTGGTGTAAACGTTAAGAGGAGTTTACTTGCAACTTATTGGTCAGCAATATAGACTTGATAATATTTTTAAAATATTACCATCCAAAATGTATATCAGATCTTATTAAGTTGATGATTTCGTTCATACTTAATTAGTTGAATACCGACGTATAAAAAAAAGTTTGACTTTAAAAAGTCATGGATAAACATTAGAAAGTAGTTTATGAGAAACACATGATGTATTGATTAATTTGAAAGGGTATTTGGATATGGTGTCACAAATCCAACAAATGGGAAAGTATTATCCAATTTGATAACCAAAGAAATGTCAACTATGGTATTAATTTGATACTTTCAATGGTCAAACTTTTGTATATGATACTTGTTAAAACATCTCACTTATTTATTAAATCAATTATCACTCAATATTTAATTGTTTATTTTATAATTTAAATATAAAAAGTTTTTATTTTTATTGTTTTTAAATAAATATAACATTTAATTGTTGACAAAATAAAGCCTATCACTACAATAAAATTAGGTTTATAGAACACCCTCAATTTTTAAGTGTCTCAATAGACCTCTTTATAGAACTTAGTATATATGACCAAAATATAGAGCGTCCTATCTAAAGGCGTTGTAATAAGTTTATATAATGGTTTTGGACGTCTTAACAAGTTTATAAGGGCATTTTTAATACAAAGTATCGCATGAGCAACTTTATAAGACACTTTTGAGAAATTGTCCTATAAACTCAATTTTTATAGGACACTTGTTTCTATAGAACATTTTTTCAAATATTGTTCTATAAAGTTGATAATGAGATATTAAAAGTGTCTTAAAAAATTTATTACGACATCAAAAAAACGTCATATAAACTTAATACAACACCATTAGATAGGATACTTTATTTTTTTGGTCCTATAAACTAGGTTCTATAAAGAGGTATATTAGGACGCTTAGAATTTGAGAGTGTCAAATAAACCCGATTTTGTTGTAGTGTATATTCTGGATTGGATAGGGATTAGGGTTAGAATATGGATACTGTGCGAATTGGTAAACCGGAATATGAAATAGAAAACTTCGGGATGTAGATTCAGGAAATGAAATGCTTCTTACTAGTAGGGGTTAATCATAGTAAAACAGGCCAATCCATGAAATAATTTTTTTTTACACGTGTTTACGATAGAGATTCAAAAAGAATAGTACTAGAAATTACAAAAGTCACTTTCCAACCCAAAAATATTATGACTGATTTATAAATTCTGTTTAAAGACACTTTTTTATAAGTTTTCTGCTTGCGTTACTGTATATGAAGGTTTTGTATGTACTATTAAAGATCATGTCTATTGAGGACTTATTTGTTAGTAGCTTAACGAGCTTAATAGAAGTCAAAACTTATTCGACCAGTTAGAATAATTGTTTGGTAGTGACTTAATAATATAAAACATGGTTTATACTATCAGATTCTAAGGTGGGATATTTATGCATAAAACCAATTTTTTCAAACCTGTCCCTCCTAATTGAAAACATGGACGCTCCTTCCATCTGCAAAAAAGACGTCCCAAATAAAACCTTCTCACGTAGGCACGTTAATCTATACATGCAGTTTCATCTATACGTAACTTAATAAAAAACCAATCAAACAGTTGATCAGATGTTATAATTTAAAATATGTTTTATAATTGCTTATTTGAAACAACTTATCATTTTCTATAAAAACATTTATCAACTTATTATAAGTCAGAAGGTTTAACTTCTTCAAAAACTCTTTATTACCGGTTTCGCACCGGAATAAGTTGTTTATCCAAACACTCAAAAATGTTTATTACCGGTACCACACCGAAATAAATCAATAAGTTATTTTTATAAGCAATCCCAAACACCCCCTAAGACAAAAATAACAATAATAAACCTTTTCTTTTTCTAAATAACCTAAAATAAATATTATATTATATTTTTATGAAATCACGACAAGTATCATTTTAATTCATGTGTATATATATATTAACATGTCATATTATGTATTTCATGTCTATAACAACAATGTCTCTTCTTGCACTTATCTTTGTCTTCCTCTTTGGCCACTCTTTGGCAACCTCAAATGATGCCCATCAGAACTTCATCCAATGCCTACTCAGTTCAAATGAACTTACTACTCCCATCGCCGGAGCAATCTACTCTCCGGCCAACTCCTCCTTTCCGACTGTCTTGCAAGCATACATTCGTAACCTCCGGTTCAACGAATCCACCACCCCGAAACCGGAGCTAATCGTAACTGCATTAGACCTTTCTCACGTTCGGGCCTCCATCAAATGCGCTAAAAAGCACAAGTTATTGATGAAAACTAGAAGTGGTGGCCATGACTACGAAGGTCTATCGTATGTTGCTGATGACCCTTTCTTTATCCTGGACTTGTTCAACTTCCAGTCGATCAACGTCTCCATTGAAGAAGAGACTGCATGGGTTCAAGTAGGTGCCACCCTCGGAGAACTTTACTACAGGATCGCCGAGAAAAGCAACACTCATGGCTTCCCTGCCGGAGTTTGCCCTACGGTTGGTGTTGGTGGCCATTTCAGCGGTGGAGGATACGGTAACATGATGAGAAAGTACGGTCTTTCTGTTGATAATATCATCGATGCTCAACTCATTGACGTCAATGGAAAACTTCTGGATCGAAAATCAATGGGTGAAGATCTATTTTGGGCCATCACCGGTGGCGGAGGAGTGAGTTTCGGAGTCGTTATATCATACAAAGTAAAAATAGTCCGAGTTCCGGCAACCGTAACTGTATTTGAAGTGACGAGAACATCGGAACAAAATGTCACCGACGTCGCCCACCGGTGGCTACAAGTCGCCGACAAATTAGACAACAATCTCTTCATCCGAATGATCTTCAACGTGGTCAACGACACAAATGGTGTGAAAACAATACGTGCACGATTTCCCAGCTTGTTCCTTGGCAACTCCACAACCCTAATAAGTCTCATGGACCAAAGCTTCCCAGAGTTAGGGTTACAGATTTCAGACTGTACACAAATGAACTGGACCCAATCAGTTCTTTGGTACTACAGCTTCCCCCCTGGTTCACCAGACGAAACTCTACTCAGCCGAATCCCACGATCTCTCACACACCTGAAAAGAAAGTCCGATTACGTAAAACGACCAATTTCGAAACAAGGATTAAGGCTCATCTTCAAGAAGATGATAGAGTTAGAACGTCCAGGGTTAACTTTCAATCCTTATGGTGGACGAATGAGTGAGATTTCCGAGTTCGCTAAACCCTTCCCGCATCGAGCTGGGAACATTGCAAAGATTCAATACGCATTGGATTGGAGCGAAGATGGGGTGGATGCAGCAAACCGGTACATAAACCTGACTAGGGTTTTGCATGAATTCATGACTCCATTTGTGTCAAAGTCTCCGAGAGAAGCTTTCTTGAATTACAGGGATTTGGACATCGGTGTTACTGACAATGGTAAGAACAGGTTTCTAGAAGGAACTGTTTATGGGGTTAAGTACTTCAAAGAGACCAATTTCAGGAGGCTGGTGAAGGTGAAGACGATGGTGGATCCTGATAACTTCTTCAGAAATGAGCAAAGTATACCAACTTTGCCATCTTGGAGGAAGTAAATTAAATTAAATTGATCGAGTCACCTTTTGACTCATTGGCTTGTATAATTTACTTGGATAATTCAGTTTGTAAAGCTTCGTAATAATTATTTGAAATATAAGAATAAGACTTCTTTTATGAAGACTTGAATTGAAGTTAATACATACATACATGTACATATACATAACCTATTTAAGAAAACAAGAAAATTGTCGTTAATTTACAAAATCATACATGATTCTCTCTCTCTCTCTCTCTCTCTCTCTCACATACACACACACACATATATATATATATATATATATATATATATATATAGAAAGAGAGAGAGAGGCAATATCAAACGAGAACGATACATATTTAAAAAAAACTAAAACGAGCAAATCACATGCAAATCACGTGTAAAATCACATATGATTTTACATTAATGGTTAAAAAAAAGTGTCCAGATGACTTGCGGCTATGTCTTCAGGTCACAGGGCAAGGTCGTTTAAATCACATGTCATTTTGTATGTGACATTAGTGTAAAATCACATATGACTTGCTCGTTTTTCATGTTCTTTTAAATAAATATCGTTCTTGTTTGATCCTCCATATATATATATATATACTCACGTACAAAATCATACAGGTTCGAAATCGTCAACTTTCATTTTTTTGACGATAATATGAAATACCCTTTTACCTATTTTCCTAAATAATTAGCATTATCGTTTGAAACTCACTCCCACCTTCCTTCTTTCTCTCTATATATAATTACAAAGCAACCACAAAGATTCTTCCACTAATTTGAGTAAAAAGTTTGGTGTCAAAGTCTAACGGTTCTTAAATAAATTAACCCATCTCCAAAGACACTAAAGTGAATATTGATGTGACATTTTTTAACTCATTAAACAACCAACGCTTCCGGTAGTTCCAGAATTAAACCCAGTACTTTTCATGTAATTAAACAAAGTCGTCTCAACCTTTTTGAAAACCAAATATTTAGTCCCTTAACTTATACCATATTACCAAATACTTGATTAGTTAATCGGTTTTGTTTGTAAACTTCGTTAATCCTTAACTATGGTATGTTTGGTGAAAAAGTCGTAAACATATAAATCTTGCATAATAACTACCGAAAATGAAAACTTTATAATTAATTAAAAGCTCGTTCTATAAATATAAATCACAATGATGACCATTTTAAAGTAAGTGGTCGTAGCGTCTTATTAGCTTTTTTGTGTGTCTAAAAACTAGGAATCATAGATAATGACCTAACGAGATTAGGCATCCATAATTGGGAAAGATTACTTCAAATCTCGTAACTAATATTTATCATAATACCTAAAATAACTCTTATTTCGTGAATCTTTTCGGTCCAAGTGGCATAAGATTCTAAATACGGTGGAGAACTTGGACCATGTCTTCGTGACTTGTTCCACGGCAAAGGTTATTAACGCGCATATGGCTTCCTGGGTGAATTGGTGGCCGGCGAATGCGACTTTGGTTAGGGACATGTGGTCGGTGGTATGCGCGATTGGAGATAGTTGCAAAAGATAGGTGGGCAAGGTGATTATGGCAGCTTATTTTTGGACCGTCTGGACTCAAAGGAATCACAAGACGTTTAGGGGCAAGTGCAAGTCTGATAAGGAAGCTTGTAGCAACATCCAATTCATTACGTATGAGTGGATTAGATGTAGAGCGATGGTTTGCAAGTCTTTTAGTTGGGAGAGATGGATTTGTAACCCGGTTGATGCTGTGTACTCTGTTTGTAACTAGCTCCTCGCTAGTCTTCTTCCTTTCTCAATAAATTGCCTTTTTGCTGTCCAAAATAAAAAGGGACAACTCATAAAACCTGATCACGATTTCTCAAAGCGAATATGTCTTGTACAGGAATTGTCCAGGTTTCCGTCTTCATTTAGTTTGTCTGTCAAAAATTATGTCTCGTTTTATCTGGTTTCTTAATTTTACGATTTTGTAATGTTTCCATGTTTAGAATATTATGACATTGGTATAGGGGTGCTCATATGTTGGGTTGATTGGGTTGAAAACATTTGAACAACCCAACTCAATGCTTACGGTTTGGAAAAATCTTAACCCAACCCAACCCAACCCAAACCAAAGTGCAACCCAACCCAACCCGTACAAGTTGGTCAGGTTAGTCGGGTTGTTCGGGTTGATACTTTGGTATATTAAAATATTCTTCTAACATTGAATATGTTATTTCTCTACACATAATTTCTTTTTCATCATCAACCATTTGATACAACTTATCTATATTTTTTACGTATATCACATTCAGTTAATTTTCTCAATTTACATATATATGTTCATAGTTACTGAACATATATATGAATGAGTTATATAGAGATATGAATAGATTGAAAATATGTGTATATGAAAAACATACATGATAGAGTAATTGTCTAATTTATATATTAATAAAAATTCAACAATCATATTAAATCCAATAAATAAAAGGATATCGGGTTCATTGGGTTGCGTTGGATTCAAATAATAGTAACTCAATATCAACCCAATACCTACGGTTTAACAATTTTACAACTCGATTAGACATCAGGTTGATACACTTACTTTAATATCTATAACCACAAGTTGATAATATTTGAACATTTTTGGCATTTCGCATTTTGGTTCCCGTATATCTAAACAACTTGTAAGATTTTCTAACGTGGCACCATCATGTATATTCTTGCCTCGATCAAAGGGTTAAGATATTACTTAGAATAAATGGGGATTTGATCGTGATCAAATGTGATTTCAATGTAGAATCATATGTGTTTTAGTTATTCTCGTGTTTTCTTGTTTTGATATTTTTTTAGTTTGATCCTCTCTCTCTCTATGTGTGTCTCTCTTAAAATGTATAATTTAGCCATGATTTAATAAACTTGGGGAGTGGAAATCGATTTTGTATGATATATTTAATCGAAAATTAAACATGCACTACGAGAAAATTGCATTTTATAGGACATCAAAATTATCCAGGGGTGTTTGGGATTGCTTATAAAAATAGCTTATTGACTTATTCCGGTGTGACACCGGTAATAAGTATTTTTGAGTGTTTGGATAAACAACTTATACCGGTGTCAAACTGGTAATAAGGAGTTTTTGAAGAAGTTAAATCATTCTAACTTATAATAAGTTTATAAGTGATTTTGTAAAAAAAAAAATATATAAGTTGGTTCAAATAAACAATCTCAAACACCCCTTACTAAAACATTTTATTTTAAAAGGTGTCCTAAATTTTTTGGTAAGACATACAAAAAAGTCATATAACCTTACTAAAATACTTTTAGATATGATGCTTCATTGTTTGGTCTTTTAAACCTAATTATTTTATAACCAATAAAACTGTATGAAAAGATGATGGTTCAATGTGATGTTATTTAAGACGGAGTTCGAACACAAATGTAGGCTAAGTAAATCAACGGACAGTCTTGGTTCTATTGAAAATGCCAGTGAAAGTAAAGATCGAAATAACAATGATACGTATAAAAACATTCAGAGTTGGGGTACGTGGTCATGACAATTACAGTAATGTTGATCTTATTTTTGGCGTCAAGGACATTTGGATATATATATATATATATATATATATATATATATATATATATAGAAGCGTACACGAGCAATGCAGCGAGATACATCGTGATTTTAATATTTCATTTTATTCTTTATCTCAGTCGATGTTAATAATATGACTTTATGTGATTTTGAGAAATCGATGATGTTTTTATTTTTGAATAAAATATATATTTGAAGATACCATAAAAATTTGACAAAAATATATC